CGCAGAAAACTGGTAATCATGTACCTGGAGGTCCATATGGCTTTATAATGCAACACCTTCATCCCAATCGACGCCCTTTCTCCTGCACTCCGGAAAAGGCCTAGGCACGACGAACATGTGCCCAAGTGTTAGGCTACAGTGCAGGGATCTTCCTGCTATTAGTGACCTGCGAGTTTAGTGCAAAAAGGCATGATCGCACCGGTAAGCCTCGTGCATTTCAGTTTGGATTTGTGGTTTTTATCCGTTTTTGCATATATGCAAATGCAAAACGCGCATTGTGACGACCCCACTGTGTGCATGTGTGTGTGTGTTTGCACCTGTCCGGATATTTCAACTCGGCAACCAAGCGGACTCCGGCACCAAAATCTTGCCAGTGCGTTTCCCGGCAAAGTGCCACCCCAGGACCGCGGTACCAACCTTCATGCACGTTTAGGCTCCGCGTACGAGCATGCGAGTGTTTTGGCGGGAAAATCGCTAACTCGGAAACCAGAAAAGCTAGAAAGCTGAAATTATAACAGAATGTTCCCTTTCCAAATACACGTGGCAGTTGTACAATTAATTTCCTGAATTTCGAGGAGTTACTTTGTTTTTATTTATGAACAGACCAGGGTTTCTACAGCATTGGTGCTTGTGCTGCTGTGGGAAGGCCTTGGAGACGCCTGAAGCTATCAGTAATAGTGCAAATCTCTATAATTATGGGAAGCATATGCCGTCTTCACAGTATGATGCAAAATACAGGAGCCCGAAAAGAAGTTTGTCCTGCTTGCCGAATTTAGCAGTGAAATCAGTTGAGGGTAAAACGAAGAAATGGCACGAACGAGGAAATCACATTTTCTCCGTAATGCTTTGACATGCTCGTACGCGTGATACAATTGTAGGAGAATGTTCATTTCATGTGTGCGGACTCATACATATACAGCAAATATTCTCAAAAAATTGGAGAAGCCCACTGAGCCCAATTTCCAAGTTGGCATTTTGCCAGCTGTCGCAAAATTACTTTGACGTGCTTGTATATATAACGTTTGCGTGCGTTTGAGCAGTATTTCAGATTTTTTACTCACATAAAGGCACTGAATATCCCTTTGAAGTTTCTACTTCCTAGCTCACCTGATCCCCAAAATAGTTTTGTCGTCAAAAAATTTGCGCAAATTGTTTTACAAGCCCGTATGTGAGATCCAGGCATAGGAGGAAGGTGATTTTAAAGCATTGCACGTGGGATAGGGAAAATACTCCAGAAATTTCAATTTCCTAACTTCGCCGGTTGCCGAGTTGATAGCCGGTGACAAAAATGCGAACACACACAAATACATACATGCATGTACAAATACATACACACATGCACGCATACACACACACACACACACACGCACGCACACACACACGAACAGTCTCTGATTAATATGCGTTCTTACATTTGTATAAATGTGCAAAAATGCAGAATAAAGAGAAGTTGATGCACTCAGGTTCTAGTTTTTATGCGTTTTTTGCACCTGTGCAACGCAAAAACGCACATTGTATATGTGTGTGTGTGTGTCTGTAACGAGTTTTCATCTCGAGATTTACAAGAGCCACAAGACTGAAACTTTGGCAGCTTAATGTATACATAAATATGGGCCCCTAGCCTCAAAATGGACGGTCACGTCCCCGTGGCTTTCAAGTACGAGCACGTGAAAGTTCTTTGGCGGGAAAACGATTTCGAGAACTGCGCAGGGATGTTGATTTGTAGCAGAGAGTCGTGACAGATGGAAGAGGATTACAGTAATGATTGGAAAGGAGCTGTAGCCTAGCCTGGATGTAGGAACTGGAAGCAAGGACAGGGATTATGGTGGAGAGGATTATATGGGTTTGTGACGTTCGGCAAGAAACTTGATGCTTCTAATTTTGGTAGTTGTCCAAGGAATTCACCAAGCAAATCAAGACGAATGACTATTTTCAGATATAGCACACAGGTTCAAAACAACGTAAGCTCGTGCGAAAGGTGCCAAATGCAACTGCAAGTGCCGAGTTCAACCACCGGTAGAAGAGCATTGCGAGCTCAGTGGACAATGCACCTCGGGGAAAATTGGACAGGGGGAAATTGTTTCCAGCTCAAACCATATTCGGATACAAAATGCTTTCCCGAGATGAGGTGGTACAGGAGACTGTGACCCACGTGAAAATTTCCGGTGAATTTACGACCGATCATTTCCTGTTTCGTCATTTTCTTGCATGGTTTGTACTTTTTATGCATTTCTACGTATATGCAAATGCAAAAACGCATGGGCAAGAGGCTGTCCGTGTGTGTGTTTGTCTGTTTGTTCGCACTTTTCCTCACCCACTTCCAGCTCGAGGACCAGAAAAGCTAGAAGACCGAAACTTCGCGACTATGTGCCTACGCCAAGTGCGACCCCTTCCCCCCCTCCCTCCTCTCCGTTTCATATCATTACCCGCGTACGCCTGGACGCTGCGTACGGGCGCCTTAAAAAACATGCAATTTTTTTTGCGAGAAAGCGACCTCAGGAACTAGGCAAAACAGACAACTCAAACTTCGCAGGGATATTCTCTGCGTATGGGTGAGCCAAAGGTTTTAAACTCAGCCCCCTGTTATGCCTGGTTCTCACATACGGGCATGTGGAAATTTTGTTGGGAAAACTGCTCGGCAATCAGAAAAGCTGGAAGACTGAAGGGTAATATCCCTCGTCAACATACAACTTAAGATTTCAGACTCAACCCCCGGCACACATGATACCCACAGACAGGCTCATGAAAGTCCAAACGGGAAAATTACTAATTCGGGAACTAGAAAAGCTGGAAAGCTGAAACTTTAGGGAAATGTTTTTCGTCCACGTACAAATTAGACATTTCAAATTCAGTCTCCAGGTATGCGTCGTCCTTACGTACGAGCATACTAAGTTTCTGGCGAGAAAACTGCTTACTGAATAGCTAAATCATTTTCAAAGAACAACCGTTAAACGGAAATTGTTCATGTCCTTTATGCAGAATTTACGATAAACGCAAGTGAACACTAGCGTGAACGCAAAAGGAAGATATAAAGTAACAACCACTCACGCAGTCAGCAACCTGAGTACTCCAAATCTGAAGCAAAAACGCATGACCGCATCGTCAAGCCTGGTGCATCCCAGCCTGGGCCCTGGGCTATTTGTCCACTTTCCTTCTAACGTGCAACTGCTTCCACATCTAGCCACTATCCTCACTGTGATGAAGAAACAAAATAGCAGGATACGAGCGCTTCCTACTGGACTGATTTACTGCGACAGAGGAAAGCAAGCAGCGAAATGAAACTGCAAAACGAGGCAAACATTTGCCAGAATTGAGATCCCGGCAAATGTTTGCTTTGTGGGCTACGACGACAAATCGGTCTGAGCCGACAAATCTCATGACCACAAATATTAGCGAAGAGGAAACTGAAATTCTTGACTGTTAAAGCAGAATCCTCAGTGCTGCACTCCCCGAAGTGCAGCAAACACGGATACAGTTGGAGAACAATTAACCAAGGCCCACAGTTCTGCATTTGCTGGGATTTGCGGTACGCCGTGACAATGCGGAATCCACTTTTCAACGAAAATTCAACTAATTCATGATAAACAACATATCCCCTCACTATGTTACTTTCAGTAAAATAATGCATAAACTACTTTCACTTTGTTGTTCATGACTTCGGGTATGGCTAGATATGGCCTGTGTTTGAATTTTAAGCGTAATAGGCAATACCCTTATTCATAGCGTTTCTGAGCTAACCAGATCCACTACCAACAGTTTCAAGATACGAAGGTGTACATGTAAAAAAAATCTGAACTGCCAGTGCTGACTTCTGAATTATACTGGCAGGTTCCTCAACAAACTAGGCGGCGTATCGAGAAAATAATATTCTACACGCCAGTTAATACCAGTATAACAAATCTGAGCGAAATATGTGAAATATTACTCTTGACAGAGGTTACTTTGCCAAACAGTTTTCTGATATTCAATGGGGAAAATTTTTTGGTAAAACCAGTCGAAGTTATTTCCAAAAACAGAATTCAAACGAAAACTGACAGCGGCAATATAAAACGGATTTTAGTCACAGCGAAGTATTATGTCTCATTCGTTTATCGTACGAAATCCCAATTCGCCTCGACCAATTTGTTTTACCACATCAGTTTGGCGCGTCTCGATTGAATGCATCACCCCATGCTTCCCTCATAAAATTTAATATTATAAAAGAAGCCTGTCGACTCACTCATCCCCATTGTTATGGACAAAAATATACTGATTTGCCGCTTCGACATTTCGTGATTGAACACATATAACAATCATAAAATGTTATTCTGATAAAACAGGGGGCAAGGAGAGGGGAACATATGTTCAGTGACAAAAGGACATATCGTGAAAATGAAGAGAACATACAATGCAAAAAACAGGGAGCCTCAAACAAGGGCAGAAAATAATGATTATGATAAAACTGCAGATAAAAAAAGCGAAACGATAGCAACTAACACTAGCGCGGCGATAACGCGTGCGCAGTTGCTCAACATGTGAAGTATCATCAGAAAAACGACAATGATCATGATATTACACGGGCAGGATAAATTAACGCAGGCAAAAAAAAA